AGGTCAAGGGAAGGAATTACTTGAAAAGAAAATCATTCAGCCTTCTACCTCTCCGTGGGCATCACCAGTGGTTGTGGTAGACAAGAAGGATGGGAGCAAGAGACTATGTGTAGATTACAGAGGGTTGAATGCAAAGACTCACCTGGATGCCTATCCTATGCCGCAAATTGTTGATATAATGGAATCACTGAATGGAGCCAAAGTTTTCAGTGCTTTGGACCTTAAAAGTGGTTATTGGCAGATGGAGATGGACCGGTCCAGTGTTTAAAAAAACAGCGTTTTGCACATCTTTAGGATTGTATGAATTTTTGTGTTTACCCTTCGGTCTTAAAAACTCGGCCGCGTCTTTTCAGAGGCTTATAAAACAGCTGCTAAGAGAGCACAAAAACAAATTCTGCCTGGTCTACATTGATAATAATTCATTACATTTATATAGCGCTTTTCTAGGCACTCAAAGCGCTTCACATGGAAGGGGGAATCTCCTCAACCACCACCAATGTGCAGCATCCACTTGGATGATGCGACGGCAGCCATAGTGCGCCAGAACGCTCACCACACACCAGCTGATGATATTGTGGTTTACTCTCCTTCTGTTTCAACCCACATTAAACATCTCCAGAAAGTATTTACTTGTCTTCAAAAGGCTGGTTTGTCTCTTAACTTGAAGAAATGCAATTTCACCAAGCCATCACTGACATTTCTAGGTCATGTCATCTCGGCAGATGGAGTTAAGACAGATCTGGAGAAAAAATATCAGCTGTCCAATCATTCCCGGTACCTGTATCAGTCAAAGAAGTCCAAAGATTTCTGGGTCTTTCAGGTTGGTACCATAGGTTTATTGAGAATTTTTCTAAGAAAGCTTCTCCCCTTCATGCTCTAATGAAAAAAGGGGCAAAATGAGTATGGTCTGAAGATTGCCAACAATCCTTTGAGACGATCAAACAAGATCTCATCAGTGCTCCGGTTCTAATCTCACCTGATGTAAACCGTGCTTTTAAAGTTCAGACAGACGCCAGTGAGAATGGGTTGGGGGCAGTTTTAACTCAAGAAGAATAAGGACAAGAAAGAGTGGTGGCATATGCATCTCGGCTTTTGAAGGGAGCGGAGAGAGCATACTCTACATCAGAAAAAGAGTGCCTAGCAGTCGTGTGGGCTGTAGAAAAATGGAGACATTACCTGAAGGGCAAACCTTTTGAGGTGGTAACAGATCATGCTGCATTGGTCTGGGCATTCCAACATCCAAAGCCATCCTCTAGGTTAAGGTGGACAATACGGCTCCAGGGGTTTCATTTCATTGTCAGTTACCGTAAGGGACAATGCAATGTGGTTCCTGATGCCCTGTCGAGAAAGTACCACACAGAAACTGAGTCTATTTTTTTAAATACAGCACAAAAAAATAATTCACCTGACTACACTCTACCTGTTGATCTTGAGCAAGTCGGCAAAGCTCAGAAAGATGACAAGGAGATCCAGAATTTGATGTCACAAAATCTGCAGAGAAAAAGTGATGATGCAATGCGATTTCACTATCTGTGCAAAAATGGAGTAATTTTTTAGGAGTGTCCCTGAAGGAAAGTAGTGCAAATAGTGATTCCAGCTGTTTTCAGAAAGACGTTTTTACCCTATGCTCATGACAATCCATTGAGTGGCCATTTAGGAAGTTTCAAGACCCTAATGCGACTGCTTGATTTTGTCTATTGGCCCAGCATAAGAAGTGACGTTTGGCAGTATTGCAAAGTATGAACGGTATGCCAACAATACAAACCACCAACAACTAAGACTGCAGGTATGATGCAGAGTGTACCAGTAGTTGAGCCAGGACATATGATGGGGATTGACATAATGGGTCCTTTTCCAAGGAGTTCAAAAGCGACGTGAGTACCTGTTAGTAGTTGTGGACTATTTCTCCAAATGGGTGGAATTATTTCCAATGAGAGCCGCAAAAGCTCCTACTATTGCTCGAATTCTCATTGAAGAGATTTTCACTCGTTGGGGAACACCAACTTACCTGGTGTCTGACCGTGGAAGGCAGTTCACGTCAAATCTCCTCACAACTATCTGCAAACAATGAAAAGTCATTCAGAGGTTAACTACAGCCTATCATCCTCAAAGTAATTTAACAGAACGAGTCAATAGGAACCTTAAAACGATGCTGGCGTCCTATGTAAAAGAGAACCACCGAAGCTGGGATCAGTGGCTTCCGGAATTTCGTTTTGCACTGAATTCGGCATGGCAATAAACCACAGGATACTCGCCAGCGGAAATCGCTCTCTGAAGAAGGTTGAAAGGGCCATTGGAACGAGCAATTCAACATCCACCAGATCCAGATCATCAGAGTTACATTACTCTGGAATGGCATGCTCAGCTAATTGATCTGGTTAAAGCTAATGTGGAGAAAGCACAACAGCACCAAAGAAAGTATAACAATCAGAGAAGAAATAACCAAGAGTTCTGTGAAGGATATGTGGTATGGGTGCGATCTCATCCGTTATCCAAGGCCGATGATGCTTTCATGGCCAAATTATCTCCAAGGTGGAAAGGGCCTGCAAAAATATTAAAGAAGCTAGGTCCTGTGAACTATCGGGTTTCTTTTATTTCTGATCCGACAGTCATTGATTCATATCATGTACGGAATTTGAAAATTTGCCACGGATGTGACAAATTTTAAAAACATGGGAGGGGGTATGTAACAGAATGAAAAATCTGTAACAGTTATTTTTGTAATGAAAGAATGGAATGGTGTAGAAACACTACAAGCCATTAGAGGGCGCTATATAGGCTCACCTGTAGTATAGTAATATAACAGTAAATTAGGAATAATAATTACATGCATCTAATCCTAAACCAATCCCTAATCCTAACCTTAACCAATTAGTAAGTGCTGTACATGTTGTTAATTAATATGGTTACACTTTATTTTGGTGGTCCACTTACTTATTATGCTAACTATAGCCACCGAAATTACCTGGAACAATTTGACCCAAGAACTTTTGGTAACGCTTCCTTTTACAGTCCTGTTACCCATGTACATACTATGTACTTATTATAGTTATTACAATTACTGGGTAATAACTAGGTACTAACCCTTAACCTACCCCTAAACCTACCCCTAACCCATGTACTTACCTTATATTAGCCAGTACTTTCTAGGTACACTGTAAGTACACATAAGTACTGTACTGTAGAAGGAAGCGTTACCAAACTTTTTCCCCAAGACCTGTTGCTTTCTGAATTTACACCATGGTTTAAAGTGCAGTGAAGATTAGGAAAATTAGTCTGGTGATGTAGGACTGCACGCACCGCATTTTTAAAAATGGTGGTTGAAATAAAATGCTGCGTGGAGTCAACCAATCAAAATGCAGCATGAACTCAACCAATTAGCATGTTCAGCGCCCAAGTCCCACCCCTGAAAGCTCCTGAACTTTGAAAAAGTACTACCTCGCAAGCAGGAACTTTCTGAGGGGGAAATTTTTACCTGGAACTTCGTTTAGATCCTGCGGTCGAAACACACCGAGTACCACGCCAAAGTTCCTAGTTCCTGGGGAAAGTTCATGTGGTGGAAACGCGGCTTATAAGTAACTTGCAACTACATTTGAACTAAATTCCAATAAAGTAGCCCATTGGTAGACTGTAGCAGACTTTTAGTAGCCTGTTAGGTTAGGGTTAGTAGAATAAGTTGACATGTAGTTGAAAAGTTGTTTATAGTCAGTAGAATGTCTGTTGCGGAGCATCAAAACAAAGTGTTAGCAGATATTAAGCAGACAGTCTACTAATAGTCTAATGAGAGTTAGTTGACATATAGTTGCAACATTACTTGTAGTTAGTAGAATTTCTAAGTGGACCATCGAAATAAAGTGTTACCATTACTAATACTCAGCTCTTAAATATATAATTACTCTGTAACAAGGACACCTTAAAATAAAGTGTAATCTCATTATTTAATGGGCCAGAGCTGACATGAACTAACAGTGAACAATGTATTTTTATTAACTACTGTTAAAGCTGCTGTCCGTAGCTTTTTTTGGGTTAAAAATGATCCAAAATACATATTTGATAAAATACATAACCAGCCAGTGTTCAAAACTATCTGCTTGCCTTAGCTCGATGCAAAACGGTAAGCTTGTAATAATGTTTTTAATTTTAGTGGTACTGGTGGATTTCCGCGGGAGATTCGAACATGTCTTTGCGTCATTACGTCACATCTGTACACATAAAGAAGGAGTCTCGGCTAGTATAAGCTATATTGCGTGTGAGGATGTTGGAGGTAGAGATTTATAGCCTTTTCTCACAGCACTTGATATAATTAAACTTATCAATTTGATGGCGGATCCAGAAAGGTTCAAACGACGATCATCATCAGTGACAACTAGAGACTCACCCGCTGTAACATGCAAAAGACTTCGTTCGGACTTCGGAGTGGCTACAGAAAAAAAGAGACTGCAACCGGACCCATGCGAAAACAAGGATAATATCGGAAGGACATTACATGATGTAGTCACGCAATGCTTGCTGACGTTGTTAACATTAACAATTTGAGAACATAGTATAGCTACTTTGCACGGTTTTGTGTGAAATGATAATTTATAAGCAATTGTTAGATTTAATCAGCGCGATTTACTGCAATGTCAGAACCAGAACAAAAGTGAATGTTTCTTACTAGTTCAGATGACATTTCCCGGTGAAAATTGTTATGTTGGTCATACTTCCAAAAAGAATAATCTGTGATTCTGAATGACAATATCCACATCGGCGCGGTGACTGACAGCTGCACACTCTCCTCAAACATTGTGTTCATCCGCGCTGTGCCGTGTCGAGGGTGTTGAACTACAACCCACGTAAAGTTGATAATTCCGCGAATGACTGCAATTGCAGATTTCGAACAGAGATGGCGACAAAGAGGAAAAATGCCGGACTGCAGCTTTAACAAAGATTTAAAAAATACCTTTAATAAATGGTGCATTATCACCAAAAACTGTTTGTATGTAGCTATATTTATGTACCTGTCAGCGCAACCAGGTGAGGCAGACAGAGACGGTTCGCAAGTACAATGAGTTCCATGGCATCCAGATCTGGGCGGGAGCAGAAGCGGCCCGTATAGAGATACTCCAGCACAGCACGCATGCAGCTCCGTGTAGTGTTAGGAAACAGCACCTGACAAAACACAGAAACAATCTCAAAGAGGGGGGGACGGGGGGTAAAACCTCAGTTTTAAAGTAACATGCAAGAGCGATTTGATAGGATGCAGATGTGTTCATCAGTAAAGTCCAACTATAAGCATTCTTAGATAATTTATGTTTGCTAACATTCTGACATACACTGGGGTCCAAAAGTCTGAGAGTATCACATGAGCACTCCATATTTTCAATGTCTAAGTATTTGTTTTGTCCTGCTTTTGCTTAATAGACAGCAGCAATCTAGCTGCATGAAATCAAGTTTCAAGTCCTTCTTGTCAATTCCAAGTGATGTTTGGAATAAGATGCACACCAGCTTCGCGTCGTGACTGCATTACCACCTCGGTGTGTATTACTTTTTCTAATCCTTTAATGGCCTGTCGTCAATTATTCCTAACAATCTACTTACATAAAATAAAATTTAAAAAAATGTAACACTAAATCTCCAAATAATATGTCTTGTACTTAAATGCTTAGTTTTAAATCTCTTTAGTTTTTTTTGTGGGGTGCAATGATGTTTGAGAGATGAACGTCTCGGTTACGAAGGAGGGAACGGAGACGTTACGTCAGAACTGAACTGTCAGAACAATCGTCAAAACAATCACCTTTGAGTGTAAGCTAAACGAGCCAATGAACATTGGCGTGCGAGATTTGCATCGTGCACCCCGCCCCACAAAGTGGGTATGAATGGAAGTGCACTTGCAGCGCACATTCAAGTTTTCCGCTAAGGAGCTGAGGCGGTGTGTCCTGACCGTTCAGCAGTGGTACAGCAATTGTGGCGATGGGACATAACGTCTCCGTTCTCTCCTTCAGGGAACGAGGGTTAAATACGTAACCGAGATGTTCCCTTTCAGTCAGTCACGTTACGTCAGAACTGAACTGACGAATTGGGATCCCTACCAAAGCTATTGTTGCCCCTTCCAGCGGTTTGTGTAAGTGTAAGCCACCTGGATCGCCCTGCACCTACTGGAGCAGAAGATAGGACAGGGTTTTACACAGAGAAGGTCAATCACTGCGGTTCCTTCTGACTCATACAGTGAGACTATTGAATAATAACACTGGGAAAGCGTGCCTTTTCCAAGCGGAAAGGAACGATACGGAGGCCACATCCTGCCAGTAGGGAGGTATCATGTGGAGATTACACATATGGACTGCCCGATAGGGTAGTGCAACATATGGTAGGTCTTTGGAGTAGCTACGGCCTAGTTAGGGGGGAGTCATTACCGGCAGAGACGGCAGGGTGGGCTCTGCCAAGGGAAAGACAGACTCGCCGACAGGGAAGCATACCGTGGGAAAATACACATAAGGTTTTGCTGTAGGAATCACAACATATGGTCACGTCAAGACCATAGCATCCACTATCCAGTCGGCCAACCTCTGCTTAGAGACAGCCTTGGGGTTGGGGTCTCATCCAAACGCCTGAGACTGCATGCCCGTTGTTCGTGGCATCCTAGCCAGTGGTGGAGGTATCCGTGGAGACAACAGCATGCCTGGACACTTGTTCTAGGGGAACTCCTGCCCGTAGAAAGGCAAGGTCTGACCACGGGCTGAAGGTTTGGCAACAGGACGGGTTGATTGTCACCCGGTGCGTAACACATTGCCACGCCCATCTCAGAACTCAGCCTGGAAGCCAGTGCTTAAGCAGCCTCCTATGAAGCAATCCAAGCAGTGTTACTGTGGCTGCGGATCCCATATACCCCAGGAGCCTCTGTAAAAGTTTTAGTGGGGCCGCCATCCTGCCCTTGAGCGAGTTCAGGCAGTTCAGCACCGACTGAGCACATTCCTGCATGAGGCGTGCTGTCAGGTTGACCGACTCCAACTCCATTCCGGGAAAAGATATCCTCTGCACGAGTTTGCTCTTTTCCCAGTTGACCCAAAGCCCCAGATGGCTGAGGTGCCTGAGAACCATATCCCTTTGTTTGCATAACTGCTCTCGTGAGTGGGCCAGTATGAGACAGTCGTCAAGGAAGTTGAGAATGCGAACGCCTTGCTCCCTTAAAGATACTAGTGCTGCCTCCACGACCTTCGTGACAATGTGAGGGGGCAGAAACAGCCCGAAGGAGAGGACTTTGTATTGATATGCCGACCCTCGAACGCAAAGCTTAGGAATGGTCTGTGTCGAATGGTCTGTGTCGAGGGATAATCAAAACATGAATATACGCATCCTTCAGGTCGATAGCTGCAAGCCAATATCGGGGACAGATGAATTAAAAAATGTGATTCTGCATTAGTGTTTTGAACAGGAGCTTGTGAAGGATGCGATTCAAAACTCGCAGATCCAAAATTGGCCATAACCCACTGCCTTACTTGGGTACAATCAAGTAGGGGCTGTTGAACCCTGACTTCATATCGGCAGGAGGGACCGGCTCCATTGTGATTTCTACCCGTAAGACAGGAGCATCCTTGTCCAGCACGGAAGTGAACTGAATGCCCCTGAACTTGTGGGGACGCCAGGCGAACTGAATCACATAGCCAAGTCTGATGGTCCAAATGAGCCAGGTCCCCAGGGACTGTACAAGTGGGGTCAGAGGGACCACAGACGTAGCGAGGTGGAGTGCAGGGACCCGACCCGGAAGGTCTTACCTGGCTCCAGAGTTGAGCAGGGTGTGTGTGAGAAGGCATTGCGTCCTTGAACCGCACACCGCTGGCCGTTGTCGATAAGAGAGGGGGATGAGAGTGGCAAGGCATAGCGTTGCACACTGTCATCCGTGCCCTCTCACGCTTTGTCGACATCTCGCACCCCTACAAGGTTTAGCCAGGGGGCACTTCTGGACCACCAAAGTGGAGATCGTCTGGCCGAGGCCCTGCGCTGTGACTTGATCATGGTCAGTCATCATGCTTAGTTCCTGCATCAACCCTGGCTCAGAACTCAAGCTCTTTTGCTTTGGCTTAGTAGACTTGCAGGGTGCCATCACATGCAGGGCGGAGGTGGCCTGACCAGCAGCATTATAAGCCCCAGCGGCAGGTGTGGCTGTTGTCCCACAGGTGCTGGACGGGAGCTGTGGATGACCCCAACAGGTGGCAACACATTGCGGGTATGCACCGTAACTGCACACTCCACCTAGGGAATCCCCATGGAACTGCCCCACCATCAAGGGCAGCGAGAGAGGAAGAACTTTTTACGCAGATTTTGCCATCTTTGGCACTCCCTATTGGCACCAATATTCTTCCATACTGCCAAAGTTCTTCATGTACATTCGGGAAGAAAGGCTCCCCCCCATTTAGTTTACTCTAAGGTGATTGGGCTCTCAGGCGAGATCCCAATTCGTCAGTTCAGTTCTTATGTAACGTCGAACGTGACTGACTGAAAGGGAACAAATAAACGTTCCTCAAAAGCCATTTTGTATCATATTTGATACATTTTAACATGATTTTTCTAAAAAAGAATATATGGATATTCAAGTAAACTTAAGTTGATTTAGTCCAGTAAGTATTCATCTTAAAATATTACTAACAATATAAGTTATTCATAAGTTTACTTTATACAAATCATTGGAGATCTCACAGCAAAAAGACACGTGAACCACAAGTTTATTATACTAGTATTATACTAAAAGGCCTTACTTGATAAAAAAGTAAATTAATCGGACAATGACAATGTAGTAAACTGTGTAGTGTGTACAACAGATTTTTCAGCAATATTTTACGGTTACTTTTTTCGATAGTCCACTTTAGACATTCTACTAACTATAAGTAACTTTGCAGCTACATGTCAACTAACTCTCATTAGAGTAGCAATAGACTGGTAGGTTATGGTTAGGTGTTGGGGTTCGGGTTAGTAGAATAAGTTGACTTGTAGTTGCCAAGTTACTTATAGTCAGTAGAATGTCTGTTGGGGGAGCATCAAAATAAAGAGTTATCAGATATTAAGCAGACAGTCTACTAATACTCTAGTTGACATGTAGCTGCAAAGTTACTTATAGTTTGTAGAATGTCTAAAGGGGACTATCAAAATAAAGTTCTTCCAATTTTGATAATGTTGATCACTTAGAGGCCTTGGAGATTTTTGTATCAAATATGATTCAGTAGGCTTCATAGGGTTAAAACTAGATCTATCCAAATGTTGAGAAATAATCTGTTTGTCCATCAAAAAAAATTTATTCAAAAGTATATCCATCTGATCTTTCCGATTTTCAAATGCATAAAAATTCCAGATGTTCATCAGATTCCTATCAAGAACTACACTGGGTCATGTTAGACAAATTATGAAGTTTTACATGACGTGTCCATTCAAATACAGACCACAAACAGTAGTTCAGTTTTACCACTGGTACTGGATATATGCGAATGCACGTTACCTCTTTTGTACAACTCTCCACAAATGGTCCACCAAACATGGCTGACATCCAATCACAGCTTGAGATGAGCAGTGGTTTATGGGCCATAATGGTGCCATCATCCAATCTGAACACCACATCTGTAGCACAGGACAGAAGACCTTCTGTAGCTTTTCAAATCACTATTATAATGGCATATCATTTCTATATCATAAAAAGATCCTTCAATCTCAAATTCGACCAATAGGATTTTGGACCATATCATCTTGATAACTTAACAGTGGCTCAATATTACATTCCACTAAAACTCAATCATAGTGCTAGAGTCAAGTATAAATAAATAGAATTGTTTCTCAGTGTTTATGATAAAAGCTTGGTCAGCATTACAAGACAGCTTGATGTCCTCCAAACCCCGAGAGTGCTGAAAAACACAATATGTCCACACCGGTTCTCACTACCAGAAGAGCACTGATTATAAAAACCGAAAGCCAGCTGACAAAATATGGGGTCTTGTTTTTCTCTATGGGGGTGAAAAATTAAGCTGAAGTAGAGGGGAAAATAGCTTGAAGGGATATTCTGCTTGAGCCCATCTGACAAATTTGCTTTGGTTATATGAAAAAATGCTGTTCGACCTTCCGCTAGGATGGACACTGTACACACCCAATGTGTGCAGATACCAAAAATGCAGAAGTTTGCTTTTTAATATACAGCTGACAGTTTTATTCTACATGACACAGGAAGGTTGGGGTGACAAATAAGGACATTTGCATGAAACAGGAGAAGGAATAGCAAAACTAAACTAATTCTATGCACAGTTAGTGTAACTGACAAATATAAGAATGCTAATGACACAAACAGATTTTTAGGACTGGGTGATATATTGAATATTCATTACATAATTGTGATCATTTAGCTGGTGATATAAAAATCAAGCACTTAATAAATGCGATAATTTTAATGCACCATTAGGTTTCCTAAAGTATTATTTGTGAATCAGTTCAAACTGTCTGTTTAATAACTAACTTTAAAACCCTGAATCAACTATTTGATTGTGTTACTCAAAATCTCTCAAGGAAATTTGTGAATTCATGTGGCATTTTTCAAATACAGAAGGTTTTAGGGAAAATATATGTACAGTTGGTAAATATTTCAGTTTGTTGTCATATTGGCACATATAAAGGATAATTATGAAATTCCATTTTTTTATATTATTAAAAAACACTATCAAGAAAAACACTGTGAAAATTGTAGAGCAATTACAATTGTAATTGTGTAACTGCCTTGAAATGTACTTTTAAGTTCATGTAAAAAAAAAAAAAAAAAAGAATGGCAAACTAAATAAGCGCCCTAGTCCATCTTATTAACAACATTTTTGCTTTTTGGATGACTAGACAATTTTGCTGGCCCATCCCTAATAACTGCCAAGCATACATACAGTTCACATGCCTCTCACCAGAGAAGGTCCCTTTGGCCAGACATTCTTTCACTCGATTTGTGCGTCTCACGTGAAAGGCCTTGGTGATCTCCTGATTCATGAAGGCCTCATCGTTCAGGATGTTTGCCACCATCATACGCAGGTCAAACACTTCCAGCAGCTCCGCGATGTGAGCCACCTGCATTAGCTCTTTCTCACGTTCATCTAGTTTACCTGTGTAAAGGTACCGCAACACGGATCGGAAGGGACCGGGTTGCATTGAAGGGTCCATGTGCACAACAGTCATTTTTCTAGGGTTGAAGGTGACGGGGTCATCCACCAATTCTTCTTGGATGCTAATGAAAGCACGACTCAAGGCAGGGAACAGACGACCACGGCGATCTCCGTCGCCTTTTAGAGTTCCATCACTGGTGCAAGAACGCAAGTTTGCTCTATCTCCGTCGTCGCTACTTTCACAAACGTCAAAACTAGCTGCGCGCATCAGCAAATCCCGGCCAGAAAGTGGTGGTCCTCTGGGTCGTTCTCGCTCCCGTTCGGTCCCCTCAGAAACACGTGGTTCGGTCAAGAAGAGATCGTAGAACTTGGACGAGGATGTGGCAAGGTAAATGCGATGGGCGAAGATCCTCTGCCGTTCCTGGAGGACTAAGATGACGTCAGCGCACAGCGGGTCCTCCAGAAGGCGGCTAGGGTGCTCTTCTATGTTACTGGGAGGGGCGGGAACGGTGATAATGGGTGGGGGAGGTTTAGGGGGAAGGAAGGGAGCTTGGAGGAGTGGCCTTTGAACATTTCGTAAATGAGACTTCCAGAACTGCAGATGACGGCGGGAAATGAGGGCTGCACGGATGGCGTTGTCGAAAACGTCCTTAACCCCGAACTGAGCAACTATGCTGGTCTCATAATACGGGACACCTAGTTCTTTAGCCACCTCACGGCCTTTCTCTGGCGCCAATATCTCATTGGATTTAATGGGTCTGAAACAAAAAAAAAGCAATGTGTCATCATACTAAAGGACTAGCACTCTCCAAAATGAAAATTCTGTCACCATTTACCACCCTCGTGTCATTCCAAACCTGTGAGAAAACCAAAAGACTTACTCTTTACTGTACAATGAAAGTGAATGGGCATAGGTAAAGGGTGTTCAAGAAATGCTCCTGGAGGGTCAACGTCCTGCAGATTTTATCTCCAACACACCTGCATGAAAGTTTCTAGTAGCTCTGTCCAAAAGCTCAAAAATGCTGCCTCTGCAGGCAGCATACATAGGTAAGAAGGCAACTAGGCACATCTGAATGCAATGATCGTGTCACATCCTGTTTACAGCCATATTACCCTGTAGCCAAAGACTGGTTGCCCACTGAAGCTAAGCAGGGGTTGAGCCTGGTCAGTACCTGGATGGGAGACCTCCTGGGAAAACCAGGTTGCTGCTGGAAGAGGTGTTAGTGAGGCCAGTAGGGGATGCTCACCCAGTGGTCTGTGTGGGTCCTAACGCCCCAGTATAGTGATGGGGACACTATACTGTAACAAGCACCTGAGACGTTAAACCGAGGTCCTGACTCTCTGTGGTCATTAAAAATCAGTTCCTGAGGTACCTTCATGCGCCAATGCCGCTGCCTGCAAAGTCATTGCCAGATAGGGCAGTGAGGCTATACGTCATCTCCCATAAGCTTTTAGACGTAGCCAGCTTAGACAGCTGACTTGTTTTCTCACTGCCCTATCAGGCAATGACTTTGCAGGCAGCGGTTGAATTGGCGTATGAAGGTATCTCAAGAAACTGATTTCAGACAGACTTCTGAGGCAGCATAATAGTTTAATGATCTACAGCAGATAAAGAGAAATAGAGAGAGCTTTAGTGATAATTAAGCAAATAATTACTACAATACAACATTTCTTGCTAGAAATGACATCAAAATTGGTAAAAGTTGGTGAAAAAAGAACATTTACTCAGAAACTGACCACCAACTGCAACTTTCAGACGTCATATTTATTTGTTGCTCAACTGTCACGGAATGGAACACACAGGATTGTGGGATATCAAAGGCAGTGAATGATACATCAATGCTGCCTTTGAAAATCAATCAGGTGAAGGTACAGGATGTGGCACGATCACTGGATTTGGACGTGCCTGGTTGCCTTCCAACCTTTGTATCCTGCCCACAGAGGCAGCATTTTTCAGCTTTCGGACACAGCCAGTGAGTCTGAAGATCTTGATTAGCTGGTTCAGGTGTGTTTAATAATAGTTGGAGCTGAACTCTGCATGAAAGTGGCCCCTTCAGGAGCAGTATTGGACACCCCTGGCAGCCGAGCTTCAAATATTACAAGATAGCACCATTAAAGTACCTTCAAATTATTCCATACATCTCATACACAATATTATGAAGTTATTCAATAGTGTTGCATTAGGAACAGATTGCAATTTAAGTAATTATTCACTGAAAACTTCCCCTTAACCACTGCTCTCAAATTTTCACGTTCATTTGAATATACAGCAATGAGTCAAGACGCATCGACACAAGTTCAGAACAAAATGAGAGTGCGTATACGATGACAGAATTGTACTGTTTGTAGTGACCAACTTATTTAAAATATTGTTACAGAAATGGTAGTCTGTAGAATTGATAGGGACATAGGTTTACAACTGTGGGGGGGAGGGGGGTTACAACCACTGTCTATGGTTTAATTTATAATTAAACCATAGACAGTAAAAGAAATGGACAGAGCGACCCCATTGATTTCAACGGAGAAGACTTGAAGCCCGATTATTGCACTTCATGTCTGATGTCTGAGCGACTGCGCAGGCTCAAACTGAGCGTGACGACAGTCTGGCAGTTGAAAATCTTCTAGTAGCTGTGCCAAGATAAATCTGAAATCACCTAATTCCTCAAAAACGTTGTTGAAATATTTTGTCCCATTGCTTTTATAGACTCTCTATTTATGGGCTTCTACCTTGACTTTGTGCCTCCATGTCCTCCCGATTGCCTCATAGACAGTTAAAGATTGCCTGCGAGCTTCTCCTCCTGTCTATACGGTCTCTATTGTGCGACAGAAAGTCCCGTGGTTATGACGCAATCTTTAGCCTATTTAAAAAAAAAACGGCTTCTACGGGGCTATAACGTAAGATACAAAGTAATGTAACATTTTATATACATTGTCGTGTTTCTTTAGAAATTAATAATGGACAAATGAAGTCTTTGGACGCCTCAGATGTAAAGTTATTCGCTGTCAAAGTGACGCCAAAATGAATGAGAGTCAATGTTATGCTAACAGCAGGTGATGGTCTGCTACAATGGCGGCTCCCGCGAGGCTTCAACTTCCGGCTGATGGATTACCCCCTTGAATTAAACACACCCAAAGTCCCTTTCAAGGAAAGTCTGTTCACTCGGCGGCCATATTTGCAACACTTCTGGGCAGCTATTTCGGGCATCCAAGATCTATCTATTGGAATGGGGGAATCCTGAAATCTCAAAAACTGCTTGCCGATCTCACAATTAAATAACATATTTCAAATCAGCAACAAAATCGTACCTGAATGTTGTTTCTAATGCTCAAATATCACTAAAAAAGCTTATTTTTCAGACTACACGAGCCAATGTGCATGTGCAGTCCTAAGCGCACGTCTCAGGTTTTCTATGGGCAGTGACGCAATGACTTTACCAATTGGCGATTGGCTCATTTATTTAGAAGTTTGGGACATATTCCGCCATATTGTGTGTTGCAGTTTCTCCCATTCATAAGTAATAAGAGTGAACCGTCTTTGTATATCTATAGATTTTGACACAGCTGAGCCAGCTATTCAAGGTCTTCAGGATCGCAAGAAACTTTCAGGAAGGTGTGTTGGAGCTAAACTCTGCGCAGGTGCAGCATTGACGGCTACCAATAGTTACCTGGCCAGTGGGCGGCGAGCTCTGTTCACTGCCTCCAAGTCAGCGTACCGCAGGTCTAGCTGGCAGCCCACTAGGATAACAGGAGCTCTGGGACAGAAATGCTTGATCTCAGGGTACCACATTGTCCTCACATGGTGGAGGGAGTTTGGGTTTGCAATGGAGAAACACAACACCACCACATCAGACCTGTTAGCAAATCAGAGACAACTCATTAACTTATACAGCTTCAAATTGTTTAGGTAGCTGGGTAACCTTTTTCGGGTCACCTTTGACCTCAGTATACTATAAGCTTATCAGTGAGAGCAAAGTTTAATCTGATACAGTTCTGTAGAATGTGACAATTTCACATGTTTGTGGTAAAACACTGATGTAAAGAGCTTGAAAACAGCTTTTATAATTTTCTTTTTTATATTCCACATAGTCTGTTTGTCCAGTATTCTTGCAAAATATGTATAACATCCAAATAAAGGCAACGATAAAAAATATCCCTAATGATTTATAAATGAGTATACTTCATTTAGTATGAAGTAGAGAGATAATGATCCAAGTTCACCTGCCATACGCAAATCTGCGGTCCTTGTGATGGTCACCAAAAGTGTCCCAGAGACGCAAGGACACACTGACATCATCCACCACATCCCTGGACCTTTCTAGAACCTGGCCGGGAAGACACATCTATCACATGCATGGAGATTTACCCGAGAAACTGCGTACAGTACATTTAAAAAAACAAATATTAGATCATTTATAGATTACAGTGGCATCCATCACATGTTTTTCCATCAATATTCCTTTTATATACCTTTCTTTGAATGAGTGAGAATATGAAATTAGGGCATTCCTCACCTCCTGGCAGACTCTGTACTGATCTATTGCCCAGACGGTGGGCACATGAGTGGCAAGTAGCTGGTACTGTGTTAGCGTCGCATTGCAGGCCCGGGCACAGATTAGCCGGGTCTTTCCAACTGCGTTGTCCCCGACCACCACACACTTGATAGTCTCGACATTTGGTCTCTCATAGTCCATGTCAGAATCCATAAAATGGTGTCTTTCACATACAAAAAAAATATAATGTAATATGACTTACAATCTGTTAAATATTTATTTTTGTGCAAAAACAAAAAAGTTGCCAAATTGCCATGATATTTCTTTGCCTGAAATTACCACAGATGAACAAACAGATGTGAATATTGGTTGATCATTGTATTACTGTGGCATGCATTTTTTCCAAAACCAACCAAAACAGGAATACAAAGATTACATTTCTAAGAACTTAGTATGCATTTTAGGGTATGTTTCCACAACAATGGTGTACTCAAAACGTTTTCGTGAACAGATGACAACGTTGTCAAAATGATCCCCGTCCACACAGATCCAAGAAACTTACTAAAAACGCTGTATTATTCTGCCAGGCCAGTAGTTGGCGATGTCACTTTGTAAAGAAACACTACATGCTATAGACTGAACATGTGATACGCATGCGCAAGACATCACCGTTTTCACAAATTCACGTTTTTGTAGTTGTTTACACGGAGACAATAACAGAATCGGTTTCAAAAATTAGCTTTTTCATGCCCACAAAACGCCGTAGTCGTGTAAATGAATGGCCAAAATGCAAAAAACGTTTCTGTTTTTAGTTGAAAACAGTGTTGTGTAAACCGCCCCTTAGTTTTTTTACAATCACTAGGACCAATTTCTCAATACTTAGGTCACAACAGCAGTTGTGGGCTTAACTGTGGATCATTAATCATTGCTTTGGCACAAAATGCATTCAATAACTATATCTTTAAATTATTTTCACACTTAGACACAAACACCGCCAAAACTCTAAATGCCTACAGGTCAATCTGCATGTTTACATACTCTTTTCAAAACTGTTAAACTTAAGTTTAAAACAATAACATAATACAAAACTGCATAAGACTCCACTGCTACATTTCTACAGTAATACCATATTGAAAAACATTCTGAATCTAAAAATGACACAGTATCAAAACAGTTAGATGTAGCTGAACACATACACATTTCATTACACCATACAAATTAATTAAATAAATGCATTTATTTCCATTCAACAAGATGGAAACTGATAGAAAAACAATAGGCTTAAAAGATTCCGTATCCAACTCTGCTATTAGTTTTAATGATTGGGATCTCCTCGGGATCGTCAAATATAAATCCACAATCCACAAATATCCTACACAATCAGGTCAAAATAAACGATTAGAAGTGTTGTGGAAAATAATAATATATAAATAATGGAAAAACAGTCCATTTGTTTCTGAGTTAAGCAACACTGGTTGTGTGATGTGTATTTGATTCACCAAAAATAACTGGTTCATAAGAGTCAAATGACTCAGGAGACAGGAAGTGAAGCTAACACTGGATTCGGACACACCTTGATGCCTTCCTCGAAAGCATCCTCCGAAAGGCTGGATTTTTAGGCTTTCGGACAAATCCAAGATCTTCAGGATGAATAGAAAGCTACAGACAGATGAGTTTGATCAGGGTTGGAGCTAAACTCTGCAGGAAAGTGGAACTCGAGGGCCAGAGTTGAGAAGCCCTGGCCTACACGGTCTTCATAATCCTCTTCTGTACCGATGCCAATGTTATCTAATTTGGCTTCAGAGTATCTTAAAGCAGGGGTACTGAGAGCTCCTGGTAGGGGTACAGTAGCCGTGTTTCCACTGTCGGGCCAAAAGCGAGCATTCAGGGGCTCCAGGGCTTCCAGGGGCTTGATCGTGCTTCGTCATGGTCCAAAGTGGGCCAAGAGGTGCTTGAGGAGTGGTCATGAACAGAGGCGAAGTTTGAGAGTCAACAACAATGCTCGTCGTTTAAAAGGTTTTCATATCAGGCTAACAGCTAACCTCAACATTAAAGACATTTTAAACAATTTTCAGCTTAAAACTCACTTTCAGACACCAGCAAGTGTGTGAAATAACTTCCGATTGCGATCCGATGGGGATTCTGATAACAGTATGAGGCAGAATATATTTATGCAGTGCTAAAAAGCTTATCTATTGTATAAATATGCATGCTATAAATACATATATGATTATAGAAAATACCTGAGACTGTTTGAAGAATTTAGACAAAGCATATAATATTCAAAGTCTGCGGCTACTGGCCCCATCTGGCGCGCTGTTAACACTGGCTCGCACTGGCCCGCACTGGCCCGACAGTGGAAAGGCAGCTATTGGTCCCTTGAGTGGGCTTCATTTCAGTCCCTAACTGGCCCTAACAGCCCCAGTCCTTAACCCTAACCCTAACTCCCATGCAAATTAACTAAACACTTGCAGCAACACAAATAAGTATACCTGTAGGTGTTAAAAACCATTAATTCTACAAAAAACTATCACATGACATGAGTTTGGGGGTTAAGGGTGTGTAACATCAAAAGAAACTGTAATTTAATTAAAAAGCACCAGACCTCATTCGTTTTCATTATATTTTTCAAAAATTTACATTTTGTTTTTCACAGAATAAAAAAAGTCATTCAGATTTGTAAATAATGACAGGAGATTCACTTTTGAGTGGACTTTTCAGTCAGTGGGCGGAGTTAGTGTAAATAGCCTCTGCCAACAAAGTGGACTATTTCTAAGTCGCAGTGAGTGAAATGATATTTAATTAAGCTCAAAGCTGTTACCAAGGCTAGATATAAACTAGAGGTAAAAAAAAAAAAAAAAGTTGATGGGGTTACCAGCTGGGTAACCATGAAAACAGAGGAACAGATGCTAATGATAAAATGCAGCTGGAGTGAGTTGTTGCCTTTCTTTCTTCTGTCAAACATAAAATATGATAGTTTGAGAAGGTTTTATATATACATTACACACACAATGGAAGTCAATGGAAACCAAAACTCTAAAACTCTTTGGTTATCAACATGTGCAGTGCTGGGGGATTTAAAACCACTTTCTTCCACTGTTTAATTCTGATTAAACAAAAATAAATGACACATTGCATAATATTAATAATAAAAGTTATTTAGATTAAGATTAAAGATAGAAAACCTTTTAATATAGCCTATCTTATATCGGAGTGTCTATTTACACTAAGGCGGGCTTTGTTGGCAGAGGCTATTTACACCAACTCCGCCCACTGACGTCTCATTGGGCCAGACACAATTACGGAAGACACTGGATTGTCAACAGTAGCAATATGCTGGTCCCAATTCACCTACTTATACGCCCGAAAAGTATGTACTCTATTTGTGAAGAAATAAACTTGAGTGTGTAGCAAAAGAGTAGACAAGCTTTGGGACATACTATATCACGTCATACAATTGCATCTTTAACGGTTGCTCTCGGTCGCTTCCTGTCACAGTAAACTGGCCTGTCAATCATCTTGTCACAGTTAAATTCCTCCGCATTTCATTTAAATTTAAAAAAAATTAAAAAGCACGTTGATCAGCAGTCGCGGGTCTTTCATGCGGAGACTCTCCTCATATTAATGCATAATAATGATGCATTTAAAAGTTAATGGCCAAACTGATCTTTATAAAGGTCCACATTGTCATTGCAGATGAAATATAACACGGATAACATTAAATAAATAAATTGATTAGTCACTCAAACCTTTATCTAAACCTATCACCGTCGGTCGCGCATATTGTCGTGGTTTCAGTCTTTTGGGGAAATGACTTCTCAGAGATCTTTGATGCCAGAAATATTAGACTTTATTCACAAACAAAGCCGAGCAACTTCTGCAGAAAGGTCGCTCCGGTTCAGTGGCTAGCTTCTCAATATATACCTTCATCCCTTCCAAAAATGGTAATACATTCTATAGATGTCACAGTGTCTGGTTATGTTCCTGGTGTCCACTAGAGGTCCTCGTTCTCACGGTGTCATTCACATTATGAACTACATTCCCCACGATCCTTTGTCTCATCATTGCACTCAGCTGTTCCTTATCACTGATCATTGCACTCAGCCTATTCCCCATCATCATGATTGTCTTGTTCTGTGTATATATACCCTGCTTGTTTAGTGTTTGTTACGGAGTCCTTGTATTATGTTACACCACTTCCGAGTTCTGTGTTCTTGCCTGTTTCTTGTGTTTTGGATTGCTTATATGGATTTTGACCCTTGCCTGGACTGTTGTGAGTACGGATTACCCCATTAAAATACTGCGATTGGATCTAACCCCTGTTTCCCGTGTGTGTGTCGTGACAGAAGGACTCCGTCACAACTAGATCCAGCAGTATGTTTTGCAACATCTCTTCCCCAGCCACCGAGCGGGAGAGAAGGGAGTTGTTTAAGGGGACCCGGTTGGTAAAGTTCCGCGGGACCCGTGGAGGTCGTCATAGAGGAGGAGATAGAGAGATGTTTCACCTCCCGTCTGCCCAGCGAGAGACCGTTCACGTCCCGTCTGCCCAGCGAGAGACTGTTCACGTCCCGTCTGCCCAGCGAGAGACTGTTCACGCCCCGTCTGCCCAGCGAGAGACTGTTCACGCCCCGTCTGCCCAGCGAGAGACTGTTCACGCCCCGTCTGCCCAGCGAGAGACTGTTCACGTCCCGTCTGCCCAGCGAGAGACTGTTCACGTCACGTCTGCCCAGTCAGAGACTGTTCACGTCACGTCTGCCCAGCGAGAGACTGTTCACGTCACGTCTGCCCAGCGAGAGACTGTTCACGTCCCGTCTGCCCAGCGAGAGACTGTTCACGTCCCGTCTGCCCAGCGAGAGACTGTTCACGTCACGTCTGCCCAGCCAGAGACTGTTCACGTCACGTCTGCCCAGCCAGAGACTGTTCACGTCACGTCTGCCCAGCCAGGGATTGATCAGGATATGCCCATTTGTGTGGCCGCCAAGGCTATGATGGATTACCTAGAGCGTCTGGCTCGGATCCTGGACATGCCAGGGTCTGCCGTTCCAGGATCGGAGCCTGTTCTTGAGCCGGTGTCTGTTCCCGAGCCGGTGTCTGTTCCCGAGCCGGTGTCTGCTCCCGAGCCGGTGTCTGCTGCTGCTCCCGAGCCGGTGCCTGCTGCTGCTCCCGAGCCGGTGCCTGCTGCTGCTCCCGAGCCGGTGCCTGCTGCTGCTCCCGAGCCGGTGCCTGCTGCAGTTCTTGAGCCGGTGCCTGCTGCAGTTCTTGAGCCGGTGCCTGCTGCAGTTCTTGAGCCGGTGCCTGCTGCAGTTCTTGAGCCGGTGCCTGCTGCAGTTCCTGAGCCGGTGTCCCCGCCACGGCCGCCCGAAGGGTCTTCGCCGCCCTGGCCGCCCGAGGGGTCTTCGCCGGCCTGGCCGCCCGAAGGGTCTTCGCCGCCCTGGCCGCCCGAGGGGTCTTCACCGCCCTGGCCGCCCGAAGGGTCTTCACCGCCCTGGCCGCCCGAGGGGTCTTCACCGCCCTGGCCGCCCGAGGGGTCTTCACCGCCCTGGCCGCCCGAGAGGTCTTCACCGCCCTGGCCGCCCGAAGGGTCTTCACCGCCCTGGCCGCCCGAGGGGTCTTCACCGCCCTGGCCGCCCGAGGGGTCTTCACCGCCCTGGCCGCCCGAGGGGTCTTCACCGCCCTGGCCGCCCGAAGGGTCTTCACCGCCCTGGCCGCCCGAGGGATCGTCACCGCCCTGGCCGCCCGAAGGGTCTTCACCGACCTGGCCGCCCGAGGGATCGTCTCCCCCCTGGCCGCCCGAGGGATCGTCTCCGCCCTGGCCGCCCGAGGGATCGTCTCCGCCCTGGCCGCCCGAGGGATCGTCTCCGCCCTGGCCGCCCGAGGGATCGTCTCCGCCCTGGCCGCCTGATAGACTGTCTGTCTTGCCTTGGCCGCCGGTTGAGCCATCACCTCCTGTTCTGGTTCCCCTTCATGGACCTGGCCCCCCATCCCTCCCCCTGATCCTCCACCGCTTCACCTCCCACCTGGACTCTTGTTTGTTTGTATGGTCTTGGAGCGTCTGGTAGCCGCTCCGTAGAGGGGAGGTTATGTCACAGTGTCTGGTTATGTTCCTGGTGTCCACTAGAGGTCCTCGTTCTCACGGTGTCATTCACATTATGAACTACATTCCCCACGATCCTTTGTCTCATCATTGCACTCAGCTGTTCCTTATCACTGATCATTGCACTCAGCCTATTCCCCATCATCATGATTGTCTTGTTCTGTGTATATATACCCTGCTTGTTTAGTGTTTGTTACGGAGTCCTTGTATTATGTTACACCACTTCCGAGTTCTGTGTTCTTGCCTGTTTCTTGTGTTTTGGATTGCTTATATGGATTTTGACCCTTGCCTGGACTGTTGTGAGTACGGATTACCACATTAAAATACTGCGATTGGATCTAACCCCTGTTTCCCGTGTGTGTGTCGTGACAATAGATATTTTGAGAAATACTTTGTACCATGTGACATACTGAAATAACACTCTCTGTTGTATCAGCATTCTGGTCTTTCAAGCTTCCAAAGTCAAACCCAAAGTCACGCACACACAGAGGAAATGAATAGTGTCCTAATATATAGCTAAATGACTTATTTTCTAAATATTAAATCTTCAACAATATCCGCCATGTTTTGTAGGTTTCTTTTTACTTTTTACTTGTATTTGTAGTTCCTCCTCCAAAACGCAATGGGTTGTGGGCAATATTAGCTGTTCTAGTGAGCACGGATCCACACTTCGAAAATCCACCGGAAATAGTAGACCATTCAGGGACTTTTACATACTCTTTTCAACATACTATGCTTTGGGACACACTTACTCTAATCTCACATACTATTTAAAATGGATAGTATGGACATTGGGATGCAGGGATAGTGTAGGTGTAGGCCAAGTTTTGACGCAAATGTTTGAATCCGCCTTTTGCCGAACTCGCTCTACTCACTTTTCTCATCACATATCAGATCGGAAAGGCATTATTTTCAATAAAAATTAAGAAAACATTCGCAAAGTGAAAATAAAGTGTCTAACGTTTGGTTAGGGTTAGGGAGGGCTTTGTTGTCGGCATCCATTTAATAATTCTAATAAATATAATCAATCATATACCTACATTATTATAGCACTGAGATACAAATAGTGTCCACTATTTATAAGTATAAATCTAACTACGAATTACACTTATTGCAAAGAAAATACTGCTACTGTAAAAAAAAATCACGATTTATCACTCCTTTTTATCTTTTGTCAAATCAACTTAGAAAATTAATGTGGTCCAGATAACATATTATTTTGAGTTTCTATTTATTAAACCAATCTCCTTTATTGTATTAACTCAAAATTTTAATTTCAATGAACTCAACATTTTAAGGCTACCAGGTAACTTACTTTTTTTAAGTTAAACTACCAATATGTTATTTTACAGTGATTAGTGCAAAGATCGCCATATTACATTGTACTTATTGTACTGATTCTACTACATATATCACACAGTACACAGAAAAGTGTAGAAAACGTAACACACATTGAATTAAACACGAAAGTACTCCATTATGTACTCCAAAATCTGATCCAGTAATCAGATCCAATAATACACATAACCTGTAAATGATCATCTTGGGAGATATAGCATAAAATCAATATGGATATATTAGTATATCATGTCATTACAGTTAATCATTCCATAACTCAGTGTTAACTGATGTCAATAGTTATCAAGTTACAATGATAGCCTACATAATCATGGCTGAAATATTGATTAGATCACAAGCGCATCAAAACCCCATATTCTTCTACACCATCGCAATGTAGCCTTAAGCAGGCACAAACATCCTCAGCTCTACGTCGCTCGGAAATAAAGCTTATAGGCTACATTCATGTAGAAGTATTCCACTGAATACAAATAATAAGTTATATAAGATGCAGTGCATTATTACCTCGTGTCTTGAAAATGGAGGTGGCTGGTATAGCAGCACAGTCTTTGGTTTCCAGGGAAACGGAATTAGTAGCCTACTCCTCCTCTACTGTACCACGAGCCACTCTTACTTAATGCAATTTTATTATAATCTAATGAACAAAGAATTGTTTACACAGCTAACGGCTATCTAAAAAACTATATGCATCATCGACAGCAGATCGTAGCCTAATATTGCATTAAAAAAAACGTAAAGTAGCTTGCAAAGCGCATGAGCGAGTAACGCGACTCCTTCTGCTATAGACATCTGCTATAAACACAACCTACACCAATGATCTGCTATAAACACAACCTACACCAATGATCTGCTATAAACACAACCTACACCAATGATCTGCTATAAACACAACCTACACCAATGAAAGAGCCTCTCAACGCCGTCCAATAGCCCGATCAAAACTATCCATCTCATTCAGAACTAAAGACCATAGGCTACATCTGCGTTACGCCTTTAAAGACAGTGTAACTTAATGCTTTAAGATACAGTAAACAAATAATTGTAAGCTTAACCTCATTCATTCATTCATTCATTCATTTAAGCTTTTTATTATAGCCTAGGTCTGTTATTATTATAAAGGCAATACATATGAAATCTTATTCAAATAACCTAGGCCTACTTAAAAAATAAAATAAAAATATATAAGTCATAATAATATTTATTTTTACAAATTAAAATAGTAGCCTATATATTTTACTTAATAGCTCAATTCCTTTTAAAGAGCAGGCTAGTGAACTTGACAAATACTGACAATAAATGGACATTTTTTGGACACTCGAATGATAGGCCATACTGAAGGATGATATTGTCTATCCCGTTTGCATTATTGCATTATTTCTGATAACTCGTTCTCACAACAATGATTTCGAGATGCATCGATTGGATATTATCCGCCGCATTTTCTGAATGAGTCTGTTCATTCACCGCCCCTTACTACAGGCTATATGTAGCCTATACAGCAGATGTCTTCTCGAGAAATGATACTTTAAGTGACCGGAGTTTTAATAATAACAGCGACTTAATATCTGCATGCACCAGTAAGTAGGCTAAATAGACTGAGACAAACACACACACACACACACACACGCTGCGGCTGCTCTTACCGCATCACAGGGAAGTGTTGCATCGGCTCGGCCGATATGGGGAAGCGACAGAAGAACAAATGCATCGGATGAGGATGGAAAGCTGGAACTAAACTTCATTTTCGGATCTAGAATAGACGGCTTAAAATCGCTGCCGCTGTTCTGACGATTCATGCTACCCATCGAGATTTGCTACTTACTGGTTATGCGCATGTGCAGACTCAGTTTTTTTTTTAACAAAAGGTAAATTTTCATGTGTTATAAAGTCATTTCCCTTTTAAAAATGCCAACTACCATATGAATATTTGTACGGTCAGTCAGCTGAACAAGAATAACTGAAAGTTTCAGTTACAAAGGTGTGCTTTAACAAGTCAAAGATGAATATTTGATGATAATTTTTACTTTTCACACCGTTTTAAAAATAAAAACAGTAGTTTACAGTATACAGTAGCTACTCATAACTTAGAATTGTGTTATAATTGTATTTCATTTAATATTAATCGACATTCTGTGATCGATTCGCGCTACGGTAGCATTTTTCGACAAGGCAGCACAAATCGTCAGAACACCGCCAATCAAAACGCGTTCGAGAGAAATTGCTCTATGCTTCTCCTCCTCAAACGCCATCAGATGAAACGTAGACTGACTTTTAGCTCAGGCTCGGCGGCGGGCAGCAGCGCTGGACAGACTCTAATGTTTCCTCAGTTACCGTACGAACTGTACAACACAGGCACAACAACACAACAGTACTGCACATTCACTGTAACACACACCGACTCCCTGTTCATTTGCTTTAGCAAGGGCTAAATGCAGTCTCTCTATCCTTTAGCAAGCTGACCCCTGGATAAAGAGGTAATGTTTGTGTTTCCTCTTGATTTTTTTCAAGATCAGAGTCCAAGGGCCTAATCTGGGTTTAAGAGTAGCCTAAGCACTACCTTTAAACCATACAGATTTGATATGTGTGGAGATTTTGAGCAAAATATATAGGCCCTATCACTATAGCAGACATTATTAATATTGGTTGTTTAATTGATAAACACATAACTCAAAACTAATAAAACATTAATTTCTGATAATCTCTGAGATTAGAGGCTGTCTGTGTCAATGCATATTTATAACATGACAAAAAGTCCCGATTTAAAGGGTTATTCAAGGTTAAACCTAAATTTAGTTCAATGTTGCTTTGTAACTTTTTCTTCAGAATGAAATTGATTTCAACGGAAAGCCGGAAATTAAATGACAAAATGTACTTACGTTATGCATTTATACAGTTCCACAGAAAATTGTGCTCTATTTTTAGTCAATTCGAGGATGTCATGCTGTCACATAATATGAGTTTTGGTTCTTTGAGTTTAGTTTCTTTACCTGTGTTTAGTCTTGGCTATGGTTTCTTAGTTGATTTATCAATCCCATTTATGCAAGTTTGGGGTCAGATTGATTTAAAAAAATAAATAAAATAATAATAAATTAATACTTTTATTCAACAAGGATGCATTAAATTGCTCAAAAGTAATAGTAAAAACATCTATAATGTTACAAAAATGTTGGTCTTCTGTGCATACAACATCGCCCTTTGGTTTCCCTTGGTCTCCCAATCCATCAGCTCTGCCATGGTCAGCGGTCCAGCGAGACACAACATGGATCTCCGTATCACAGTGGCCTCTTCCTCTGCCGAAATAATCAAAAGTCCAAGTTGTGGGGGCTTTGAACAAGTAGCAGTAGACCACCACGGAGGATTGTGGATCCATGTGGATTTCCAGTTCCGCCATGGTCCCTGACCATGACCCGTGGTCATCTCCTCCGCTGGCCTGTCCAGGGTCTTCTCCTCCTCCAGGTCCTCCGTGGTGGTCTACTGCTACTTCAAAGCCCCCCAACTTGGACTTTTGTTTATGTTCTCCATGTGATGCCTACTGGGGTGCTTACTTTATATGAACCCTTTCATGCATAGAGGTCAGTACAGTGGACAGCTTTTCAAAAAGCATTTGCATATGCATGTGTTTTGATGGCATAGTTGCACATCAACCTCTACAGCATCATCCTATACACTGCCACCAAGTGGCAAGCCGTTGTATATGTTTTTTTTCCCTCTAAACCAAGATGGCCGACGGATAGTCAGAAATGCCAAGTTGCTCCGGAATATGAATCTATCCCTTCTATAGGAGACTCTTGCAAAAAAATCTAAGGAGACATATCATTGTTAAATTTTCCAAGTATTGGAAAGATCATGTATCACTAGCTATTAGGGGTGTAACGGTTCACAAAATTCACGGTTCGGTTCGATACGATACAGTGGTGTCACGGTTCGGTACATTTTCGATACAGCAAAAAGAAAAAAATGCCAGAGAAATTTCCTATTTATTAAAAGAAAAAATATTTTTAAATAAGTTTGAGTTTTCCTACATCTTGAAACTTTCAGGTTTATAAATGGGGGTAATCTCTGAAGGATGAACAAATAATGTTTTGGTCATCACATTAAAAATAACATTTAAATATAGGTTTATATTTATATATATAATATTTAGATAATATTTGAGTTTTGAAGTGCTGGAAAAAGATGTGTGAAATACTTGAAAGCATTTCACTATTACAGCCAAACTTCCATGGTTACAGTGAGTGTTACTATATTAAATCCATGGTGAATGTTGCTGATCTGTGGACTTAAAGCCTATAACTAGATCATTCACGGCACAATGTTTCTCCTGGTTTCCACGTCAGCGAAGTTTGATCTAATAGAGATCTACGGTTAATAACGGAGACATTTGAATGCTTCTCACTAGATCTCGCAGCGATGTTATCACTTCAGTGGCGAATTCAAATGTTTTCTTCACTGGATCTCTTAGCGCTGTGTAGTAACAGTGTCGCTTGATCAAGATCGGCCCGCGCTGCACAGATGTTGCCCGAACTGATAAACGGTCCGTGAAGCACAATATAATGAGTAGCGCAGTTTCGTTCCGCTTTCATTATGTTTGCCATTTGACGTTGCGCAACGTTGTGGTGGTCGCGCCAGCGCGGATTTTGTCGGCAGGAAAAATGGTCCAAGGAATCATTCGGTTTGTAATGCGTACCGAACCGGAAGCCTCGCACCAAAACGGTTCAATACGAATACATATACCGTTACACCCCTACTAGCTATTTATCAGCTACAATTCATATTACTGTGACTGTCGTTGTTGAAAATACTTCATCTGCAGTAACAATGTAACAATGTAATTTTACAACTACATCAAAAAAGGAATGTGATTACGTTATGCACGTTACTTGTAATCAATTACTTGTTACATCAGAAAAGTAATCTGATTACGTAGCGCACGTTACCTTTAATGTGTTACTTAACTTTAGCGGGAGAAAGAGTTGGGAGAGGAGCGGTGAGTAAGTAGGTCAAGTGCAAAATGACAAACACCAGTGTCTTGTTGCAGTAATTGGTGTGGAGGGACTGATAAAAGCCACCGGGAAACGGGGAGTTGCAGAGAGAGACTGGTTTGAGGACTCGTGTGTATTGAGACTGATCACCCGCTGTGAATGGAGATACTGATTGCTTTGATCTAAAATGAACGTTTGTGGAAGCGCTTACAGCACATTTGTTTTTCTTTTTTGATTGAAAAGAATAATAACAGCACGAGTCCCAGTTAGATGACCCTGTCTTCTTCATTCCTTATTATGAACAATGCTACAGTAATCTGATTACATTATGCATGTTACTTGTAATGCTTTCCTCCCAACACTGGTCATTTCAGATGAGATTGAAAATACTTGAATGCTAGTCTGAGGTTTTCTCAGAGAGGAGAGCTATGGTGTAAATCCATTTTGAACAGAATCAGAATGATCAGCTAATAAGGGTAAATCGACATACTCTGGTAGAGGGAGTTTGAGTGTTTTCTACATAGTCTGAGTTGGGTTTCCACAGAGTTGTACCTTCACTGGTTGTAGAGATCTTTGATGGAATCACGTACTCATGTTCGGATGTCAAAAAAAAACTTGTATGAAGTTCTTCATCTGTTGGTCTTACAATTTTCATATATATTTTATAGTTCTCACATGATTTTTATATAATGTTATTCAGTGGTTTGTTAAATGCACACAGTATTGCTGTTATTACTGTATTATGTTTAATACAGTATCTCTTCAGTTAAATCCAAAAACGCATAAATCATGGGCTAATTTTCATATTTGGGTGAACTAACCCTAAGTGTACCTACTCATAACATTAACTCTCAACCTATAACTTTCTGAATTACATTTTTGTTTCTACTTGAAATGGCACAATGCAATTACAGAATTACCCTTGTATTACAGGTTATGACAACTGACGTTAAATAGCGCTTTAGTGGTTTTGAACACATGCATTATCATGTGGTTTCTGAAAAGGGAAGTGGGGAAAGTTCATTGTTAACGGTGGATAAGAGAGAGAGCGAGAGAGAGCACAGTAAGTGGCATATGCCTGACACTTGCTAAACAGAGAGTCAATCACTAGTATTGTAATAAACATTATGGGCACTGAAGTGAAAAATACAGAGACACTACTGTCTTTGAGAAAGTTTCACATCTCTGAGGATTGTGGGTTTATTCTCCCTGAGCCACTGGTAGGTCATTACACTTTTTATTAGCTGTAACTAATCCTTTTTTTTTTTTTTTTTTGGATATCGTAACATGTAGTAAGAATGTGCTATATTGGTGTGTTTTATGCTGTGTACTATTTAGGGAAATTAACTGGCTAAAAATATGTACATTTATGACAAGGGAACAATTGATTATTCTCAGGTACAAAGTCAGTTTGTTTCATTACTTGATATATTCCAAGTATTGGGAATGTTTTTAACAAACTATTAATTTGCATTCATATTAAGATACAGTAAGACTGATTACTTGCATATAAAAGCCTTAGACTTCGACACTGTTTGCTTTCGGAGTGACCTTTATCTATTTGCTTTAATGGTAAATAGGTTAATATAAAACTTTGCACATTTCAAAGACAGTGCTCTTACAGAAAACAAAGTAGATCAAATTAGTAAGCCGACTTCAATATTTTATGTCAAGTGCAGATAATTTTTTAGCTGTATAGTATCTTTGAATCGTTAACTTTGACACGTTGAGTATCTGGGATTATATATCTCTTTCAATGATTGGTGTAAAACATAAAAATCTCCTCAAGGTACACCTTTGGACTGCAATCAGCCATTTTCAACTCTTTTTGGCTGAGAAAAAGCATAAATGTATGGTATATTTTACGGATATATGCAATTTGATTTAAAGTATGAAATATAAGTAGGATTGCTATATATCAAAAAAACACATTTGCATTACAGTAAATGTAACGAAAATGAATCATGAACATATATTATGTTACATACTGTGTTATGGACATAATCGATACACATCTGCACTGTGTTTCAGACAGACCTGCCGGTGTTCTACAAGCCCTGGATGGACATTGCCAGAAATGTGCCAGAACTCATCTCTTCTCATTCTTTGCGCCATAGAATTCATGATGTATGATCTTTCATACTAAGTACACAATAGTGAAAGTGTCAACTAAAAAAATGAACAAAAAAAAACATAAAAATGTCATCAATTTAACATTTTGCTTTTCAAGTCACTATTTTGTGCTTCAGAGACCATAATAATAGATTGTTTCATTAAACGGTTTCCTTTTACTTCCATTTTCCTTTCTGCCTTTCTTTCCTTTTATTTTATTTAGAGGAACTTCATTGGCTATATGGGGATTTCAGTGTTTATCCCTTTCAGGCCCAAATTATGTTTCAGTTTCACAAAAATAAGCCTTTTTATGATATCCTTTTTTTATTATAAATGATAGGCCTAATTGTTCACGATTAAAATTATAAACAAATTATATTATATTTACAATCATTTATTTGTCATTTTAACTAATATTATTTCTAATTGTTTCTGAACTGCTGCACCATCCAGATAAGTAATCATAGTAATATTCCAAGAATTTCGATATACATTTTTATTAATGAAGCAGGTAAAGCTCTGTGGTTATAACTGTAACAAGTTAAACTGTGTAAGACTAATGTAGCCTACTTACTAATGCTACCTTATTAATTAATGCTGCCATATTTTTGTGCCGTGTGTCACTAACAGTGACAGTCACATGCCACCATGCGTCATTTAAACAATAACGACAACAACAACAGTGTGGTATTTTGCAACCAATAATAATCTTTTGTGATTTAGGTATCAAGTGAGAGAAAAAATAAATAATGGTGATGTTGAGAATGCATGCAGGGTCTGAAAGGCCTAATAATCCAATAATGATTGTTCTGTGATTGTTTGGTATGGATTATTTCATCTCAGATGCCTCTGTTGGAGACTCGTTTGTTGCAGAGCTATCGTGAGCTGCGTTTGGCCCATCTGGCTTTGAGCACGATGGCTATGGGTTACGTATGGCAGGAGGGAGAGAGAGAAACAGTAAAAGTACAACAGTGATTTTATATGCACTTCCAACACATTCTCATCCCAAGGCGTCATCTAACTGACACTTTTGACCATGCGTCAACATGCCGACGCACATGGTACCCCTTAAGCGTGAATATGAGACGCTCATCCTCGGGCGTCATCTAACTGACGCTTTTGACCATGCGTCTAAATCCGACGCACATGGCACCCTTTAGCGTCAGTTAGATGACGCTTCCGTTATGGGTAGGTTTAGGTCTGGGGTAGGGTTAGGTTTAGACCACTAGGAGGCGCGTCTCATATTGCCGCTTAAGGGGTACCGTGTGTGTCGGCATGTTGACGCGTGGTCAAAAGCGTCAGTTAGATGACGCCTTGGGATGAGAACGGGCTGGCACTTCAGACCACTCATAGGACTGAACCACAGAACGGACCTGTCTGACTATTTACTATATGTCATGAACTTCCAGGTGCTTCCGCAGAATCTGTCGGTGCCGTTCTGTGAGGTGTCTCGAAGACTGGGTCTGCCCCCAATTCTCATCCATGCGGACACAGTCCTTGCCAACTGGAAGAAAACAGACCCAGATGGGTAAACTCACTGATCCATATGTAAAATACTGTTAACCTGCACTGTTTTAACAAATATTTAGTTTGCAGTTTATGTAACCAATAACATTAGAGCGACAGCACTACGAACGCCCACAAGCGACTCGCAGTATAGAGACTAGAGACATACAGCGACAAAGTCGCTGGCGGTGTGAACGGGGCTTTTAGCGTGGTGTTGAGACGCCTCCCCTCATTTGTACGTTGATGGGCGTTCCTCAAGTTTACCGCTATGGGTGTGGTTTTTGTAGTAGGACCTTTATAACAAATGGGACATGTGAGAAACTTCCCCCAGTCTCCATGTGCTCTACTTCTATTGGATAGTCCCGTTGCATTCAAAGGATTCATTTGCATAAAGATGGGCATCGGCCAGCTTTTTGACGCACAACATTTTTTCAAATGCAGCGCTGCCTGTCAATGCAGGATGCTTGACGGGCGCGTTAAAGTCGCTTGACGTCACCCATAGGAATAAAGTGGAGTGCGGCGCGACAGAATTGCAGAAGAGCAACCGAACTCAGATCACCTCCTCCAGGTAGTCTCGGGTTCGGTACCCCAGTGTGCACCCGGGTCCGCATGACACCGTTTACAATAGCGATTTTTCATGTGAACCGTGCCCTGTTCCGAACTAAACTGCCAGTGTGAAAGCACCCTCAACAAACCCCTAGTCAGTTCAGATATTTCATGTGTTCTGGCTCAAGCACACCTGGTGAAACTAATGAAGCCCTTGATTAGTTGCATCAGGTGTGCTTGAGACAACACCTGTTTTGCAGATTTGTGCTGTTGTGAGGTATTCTATTCGGGGGGTTTAATAACGTTGAGACTGCAGAAGACATTACAAGTTGCATTTTCAGTTGAATTTGGGGAAACCACTTGAAACATGTGTTGCGTTGAGCTATTTAAAAAAAATTGTTTGATTTGTTCATTGCAAACAGCTGAAAGTCTGTACATTTTGCCAATATATGTAACTACATGCACTTTTAGGGAAATTTATACTTTTACTTTTTCTGCAGTATGTGTACTGTGCACAGTGTGGACATTTTCAGTATACATTGAATGACCAAGTGTACTACCAAGGGCTCAGTGTTTGGTTTGTTAGCATGAATACTACTGTAAGCTCCTGTTGATGTCATAACTACAACAATTGGGCTAAAATAGTCTTAATTTATTTTTGCCCCACCTTTCCACTGACAAAAGTAGCATTCTTTTCTGACAGAATACAATAAAGTTGTAATCAATTTCATTATTATAGATATTATATTAATGTTTCACCATTTGTAGTTAAAACTTTCATTCATGAATCTGATGTTGTTATTACTGTGATGTGATTAAGGTTCACTTCTGAGTCAACTTGAAATTAAATTGCAATATCTGAGTGAATGTAAGAAACCTGTTAAATGCTCTTTTTGTAGTAAAAGCAAAAGAAAGAAAAAAGGATTTACATACAGTGTAGCTATATTTAGACAAATCAGCTATGTTTCAGATGTGGCATATATGCATTATAAATTCTGCATTTCTTTTTCATGCTCAACTGGACACTGGTTGTTCCCAGACCTTTTTCCATGGAGTAAGTATTTTGTTGAATTAACAGAAATGTGTGTTAAGTGTTATTGATGTTTAGAACCAGCAGAGGGAGCCATCTTATTATGTACAGTGTGGAATATGTAAATGTGCTCTGTGTATTCAGATCCTCTTTGTAGCATTTCCCTTACAATTCATTTACGTCGAGAATTAGACACCACTATGATAACATGTAAAAAAGAAAGACAAAAAATAAAATCTTTGCAATACTTTGCTGTAGTTTATGACTAGTGCTGTTCTGAAGTGACTGTTCTTGTGTCCTGTAGGAACCTGGAGTTGTTGTTGACTTTGCCTGGAGGGGAAAGTGTAAGAGGGTTTTTCCTGGTCACACTTCTGGTGGAGCTGGCGGCTGTTCCTGGCCTAAAGGTCTGACACTCTTTCAAATGCCACAGAGCACTGAGATACAGAAGCCATGATAAATCATTCATTGATACACTATGGTAGTATTTGTTGAATAAACTTGGAGTGCAAATACCATGGTATGTGATTATGAACTTTGGAAACAATTTTCACTGGCACTCATTACTGTACCATTGTGCTGCTTCTTTTTTTTACAGTCTATCCTTGATGTCATCAACGGTGTCCATTATGATGATGTTGCTATGGTCACCAAAGCTCTGGATGTTGTCAGTCAGGCCATAGACAGCATGAAACATGCTCTTAAACTAATGCATGGTAATACTTTTGAAGGTGATAATAAATGACCTCTATGCATTCATTCAAGTGGTTGTAATACTTATTGTGACCGTTTCAGAATATGTAGATCCCTCCATATTCTACGGAATTATGAGGATCTTTCTGTCTGGGTAAGTTGGTTTCACAGCTTTTTATTTAATTTTTTTCTGAATCTACGAAACTTTACTCTCCTTAATGTGGGTTTTAGATGGAAAGATAACCCATCAATGCCAGAAGGTCTCGTGTACGAGGGAGTTCATGAGAAGCCAATGGAGTTTTCGGGAGGCAGTGCAGCACAGAGTAGTATCTTACACTGCTTTGATGAGCTGCTGGGAGTCCAACATGAAGGCAGCAGTGGTAAGAGAATCATCAGTTATTCCGCTCACGGTTAATAATAATAATATTAATATTCTATTCAATTATTCAAAGGTGATAGTAAAGACATTAAAGAATCCTGATTTTTTATTTATTTTTTTGCATGGTTTCCACAAAAATATTAAGCAACACAACTGTTTTCATTATTGATGATGATAATAATAAATGTTTCTCGAGCAGCAAATCAGCATATTACAATTATTTCTGACACTGAAGACTGGAGTAATGATGCTGAAAATTTTAAGTATATTAAAATAGAAAAAAAAGTTACTTTAATTAAAAATAACATTTCACAATTTAACATTTTTACTGTATTTTTGGTCAATTAAACACAGCCTAATGTCAAATAAATTTAACAAAACGCTTATATAAATAGGCCTCTATAAAATGCAAAGATAATTTTTTTAAATGTCAGATGAAAATAAAAGACAAATGCAATTTATAGAACACTTTTTGCATTTGTATTGCAAATTTAGTTTCGCTCTGTCAATACTATTCAAACAGGGGCCTTCCTGAGAAGAATGAGGGACTACATGCCGCCCTCCCATAAGCGTTTCATTGAAGACATCTCTAGTCGCCCGTCCCTGCGCGACTTTGTGCTCCAGCAAGCGGATGAGCGCCTAACGCACACATTTGAACAATGTGTGGCCCGGTTGGTGGACTTTAGGAATTGCCACATCAACATTGTCACCCGTTACATCACTATACCGGCGTCCCGTGCCAGACAGCTCCGTGAAAACAAGCAGGGTTTGGTCGAGGAGCTCGACGCAATCAGGAAAGCGCCAAAAGCGCTGGAGGAAAGAGGTACTGGAGGTTCAGGGATTATGGTCTTTCTGAAGACTGTGCGTGATGAAACTAAAGACATCCACATCTCAAAGTCTACTAATGGGAACCAAGTCTTGCCAAATGCACCGATGACAGCGATACAGAAGGCTGCATCTGAGCTCAAAATAGAATGAAAATAGCAACAAAGTATCTTTGAATGGTGATTTGACAAACAGGCTCATTGGAATAAATCACGCCAGTGCAAAATGAAATTGCAATGCTTTTTGCATGTTTCATGACACTTTCAAAATGTGAAATGTCCAGTGAGTGGCACAAAAACATGACGAGGTCAATTAGCAACAGATGAACACGAATCTTGCCATGTTTTATTACAATGATTTTTGTACATATGGTGGCAGTTCGGAAATGAATTGTCCGGTTAGTGACGCTAAAAACACGTTAAGTTTTATCCGCAACAGATAAACATGAATCTGGCAGTGTTTTATTAAAGGTGCAGTTGAAAGTAGATCAGCCCGGTCATATATTATTTTATAGCTGTTTGTTAATTTTTTTGTTCTTCCTTGTAATTATTTTGTCATCTTTGCTTTATTTTTCATGAAGCATTAATTTGAGTCGCTCTATGATAAATTGACGTCCACTCTTGCATTACGTGTTCATGCATTTTGGGGGCGTAGATATGGGGGGAGGGGCGTGTTTGTTTGGGTTCATGTCAAAATATCAACAGTGTTTCTCAGAAATCGCTTACTGCACCTTTAAACTAGGTGTTGTACATATGGCTGCAGTTCAGAAATGAAATGTCTGGAGAGTGGTGCTAAAAGGTTGACGCTTTGCCACGTTAGAAAACAACGTACAGTGCCACTTACACTAAACCCTACTCTAACCTAACCGATAGTGTTAGAAAAGCTAACATTACATAAAAAGATCAGCTGTGTCCGAAATCGCCCCCTATACCCTTAAATAGGGTACTATTTGAGGCGACATTCATTTGTAGTGGTGTTCAATCTATAGTGGATGTTATCAAGTACACTCATTCAGTCCCACAATGCACCTCAATAACGAGTGTACAACCGCTCTATGCTCAACGGCTGGAGAATATCCATAATCCACTCTGAAGGTCGTGCCCAATGAATTCCCACGTCTGACCAGAAAATGGTGCCATCCATCCAACTATTTTCCATACTTCTGGTCCAATGTGGCTAAAGTGTAATATCTTACAGTTATTATTTCCTTTTTACTTGATTATTAAAGGGGTCCTACTATTATAAAGTCCGGGATATTATATCCAGGACATTTTTTTAAAGGGGTCCTATTATGCCCTTTGACAAAGTTTTAATTTTGTTTTTGAGGTATATGTTTTCATGCTTGATTGTTTAAAAAACACATTATTTTTCACATTTTACATTATTACAGCTCCTCTCTCCCCAGTTTGGTTGAATGCGGTGTTTCGAAAATACGATATGTATTGTGATTGGTTAGCTGGCCCAAGTGTGTTGTGATTGGCAGCGCTTAGCACGTGTTTGGGTGATGTCACGTCCCTTCATATGCTCTACTCAGATGTAAATATTAACTATATCGTCAATTTCAAACCATTTCAAGCCCGATTCAGACCCTGACCATGTTGACGAACAAGAGGATCGTGCAGAACGGATTTCAAGCAGGGACTTTGCAAGCACGGGTTTCACAGGACGTTTCAGAGTGGTATGTTTTTTAGTATTTCATCTTATAGATATGATATTATCCACCATTTAATCATATTTGTTGAAAAACTATGGTAATACAAACAGTAATCGATCACAAAATCATGGATAAGTTTCATAAGGGGTGGTGAACAGTCTTAGAAAAGCACAAGCTTACAAAAGCTACAGTAAACACTACACCCATACTGTAATGTTAGTTAGCAGGCTAGCGGAGGCAAGGCTTTGCCCTTCCTTTACATCATAGCTATAATAGCAACTACATAAAGCTTACAGTATAATTGGAACTGTTAATAGAAAACACAAGTACAAATAATAAGACATACTTGCAAGTTGTGACCCATAAACAGCATTGTCCCGAAAAAATGAGAACGGCTAGGGTGAATTCAGTTTGATTAGGACACTTTTTCCAAATAATATCAATGGCAAAAAGTGTCCCAATCACCCTGAATTCACCCTGCGTCTTTCAGGAGAAGCTTTTATAACCTGCATACTCCCTTCTGGAAGCTGTTCTCCGTTAAATGTCAAGACAAACGTTGAGGTTATAATGTTTGAGAACAGTGTTAAAATACATTTGAACCTCTCTAAGTTTGTCAGCCTTAAGACAAACTTTTTCCGGGGTAGAAAAACAGCAACAACAATCTTCATTCTCTCATCATCTTACATTATGATTACATAAGTTCCGGAAAAGGTGCGTTGTAGTTCTTGGAAAGTGGATTCTGTTAAATAAAGTAGGCTATCTCTCTTTGGAGTGGACTTGAACTTTGTAACTTTCCAGATCTGTTGTATGCTCAAACAGCAAAACTAACTAAAGTTGAAAAAGTGAAAAAGCATAATAGGACCCCTTTAAATTGTTTAATTAAGGTGTGGCGAGCAGGACGAGGCCGAGGGGCGTTCTCTCACGGCCCTTGGCCTCGTCCTGCTCGCCACATAAGGTTTATGCATGCTAGTTCTGTTCAAGATACATCTTTTCATCTTAAAACTGGAGCTTCCCGTTTGCGAAGTTTCAAATGATTTTTAAACAGCAAGCACAAGCTATGCAAAAGTGGCAGCCCTTCCGGTACACTCAGTGTCCGAATTCACTCACTCGTTTTCATTCACTTCTTTAGGTGGACTATATTAGTGGACAAATGTAGGGAATAGTGAATGAGGGTATAGGGGGGCAATTTCGAACACAGCCATCAACTTTTGCTGAAGCAATTATACCATTTGCTGTTTCATGGTTTTATGGGACTAATAGTCTCTGAGGGCTCTCAGGGCTTGATGCTTAATTTTTCCCAAGGAGCCCATGTGCTTAGGAGCACATTACAAACTTTATGGCCACAATGAAAATTTGTCAAATAATGTGTTTTTCTTTAATAAAGGCATATAAGAAGACATTTATAAACAAAATGACTTAATTTATTAGAATACAAAATGTACACTAGGTTTTAAAATATTTCTTCTTCAAACTGTAATATGAAGTTAAATGTTCTTTCCTTCCAGTGATACGGCAGGCCAGACATCTACAAGAGTTATTTTGAAACAACTAATTTTGTACTAAGTATATTTTAGTTGTAATTAAATTGTAGTATAGCATAACTTTATGTGTATTTAGTGTACTTTTGTGTACTAAATTGGAGAGAGAGAGAGAGAGAGAGAGAGAGAGAGAGAGAGAGAGAGAGAGAGAGAGAGAGAGAGAGAGAGAGAGAGAGAGAGAGAGAGAGAGAGAGAGAGAGAGAGAGAGAGAGAGAGAGAGAAAAGTATAGGCTCATTAATACCTTTGGCTTATTCCATATACCATATACTACAAATTGTATACTTTGTCTTCAATAACAAATGTACTTTGTCTTCAATAACAAATTATTCGACAAATAAAACTTAGCTATAGTTTGTAAAAAATACTAGTGTATACTGTATTTTGAAAGTATAGGCTACTTTCAGTCCATTGTTACAATGATCATTTCCAGCACACAGTTAAAATATACATCAAATATTTTTTTAATAAAGTGCAAATAAATACACTTTTAAAAAATAAACTGAATTTTCACTTAATTTTTTAGAAAATATACTAAAGTACAATTATTTTAAAGTGTGTTAAAAGTTGTATTGTGAAAATAGGTAAAAAGCATGATGCTAATATACTTTTAATATAATTAAAGATAGTACATTTTTTGTAAGTATATTTGCAAAGTTCTATTGAAAAGGGGAATATACACTCACCTAAAGGATTATTAGGAACACAATACTAATACTGTGTTTGACCCCCTTTCGCCTTCAGAACTGCCTTAATTCTACGTGGCATTGATTCAACAAGGTGCTGAAAGCATTCTTTAGAAATGTTGGCCCATATTGATAGGATAGCATCTTGCAGTTGATGGAGATTTGTGGGATGCACATCCAGGGCATGAAGCTCCCGTTCCACCACATCCCAAAGATGCTCTATTGGGTTGAGATCTGGTGACTGTGGGGGCCATTTTAGTACAGTGAACTCATTGTCATGTTCAAGAAAACAATTTGAAATGATTCGAGCTTTGTGACATGGTGCATTATCCTGCTGGAAGTAGCCATCAGAGGATGGGTACATGGTGGCCATAAAGGGATGGACATGGTCAGAAACAATGCTCAGGTAGGCCGAGGCATTTAAACGATGCCCAATTGGCACTAAGGGGCCTAAAGTGTGCCAAGAAAACATCCCCCACACCATTACACCACCACCACCAGCCTGCACAGTTGTTACAAGACATGATGGATCCATGTTTTCATTCTGTTTACGCCAAATTCTGACTCTACCATCTGAATGTCTCAACAGAAATCGAGACTCATCAGACCAGGCAACATTTTTTCAGTCTTCAACTGTCCAATTTTGGTGAGATCTTGCAAATTGTAGCCTCTTTTTCCTATTTGTTGTGGAGATGAGTGGTACCTGGTGGGGTCTTCTGCTGTTGTAGCCCATCCGCCTCAAGGTTGTGCGTGTTGTGGCTTCACAAATGCTTTGCTGCATACCTCGGTTGTAACGAGTGGTTATTTCAGTCAAAGTTGCTCTTCTATCAGCTTGAATCAGTCGGCCCATTCTCCTCTGACCTCTAGCATCAACAAGGCATTTTCGCCCACAGGACTGCCACATACTGGATGTTTTTCCCTTTTCACACCATTCTTTGTAAACCCTAGAAATGGTTGTGCGTGAAAATCCCAGTAACTGAGCAGATGTGAAATACTCAGACCGGCCCGTCTGGCACCAACAACCATGCCACGCTCAAAATTGCTTAAATCACCTTTCTTTCCCATTCTGACATTCAGTTTGGAGTTCAGGAGATTGTCTTGACCAGGACCACACCCCTAAATGCATTGAAGCAACTGCCATGTGATTGGTTGATTAGATAATTGCATTAATGAGAAATTGAACAGGTGTTCCTAATAATCCTTTAGGTGAGTGTATTTCAAATACAATAAAGTATACTTTTTTTTTTAATGCTCCCTGAGGACCCACACATTGTAACACTAAGGGCCCACCAGGCCTTTTTTTGTTTGTTTAAATTTGCACACATGCTCCTAAATACATACAGTTTGCACACATC